GTTTATAAATTTGTAGGTAAAATGGTTGAAAGGATAGTAATTTTTATTTTTTAATTATATAATAAAAAAATCTAAAATTACTTATAAGTTAAAAATTTGTAATTTAAAAAATTTATTATTAACCTTTAACAAATTTATTAGAACTATAATAAAATATCATAAAGTTTATTATAAAGAATAAGTTTAATTATTATAATTTTTATGATTTAAAAAATTTTTATAATATTTATTAATAGTAAAGTAATTTAATCAATTTATAAACATATAAATTTTTAAGAAATTATAATAATAAATTTTTTAAAATTTAATTTTAAAATTGAATTATTTAAAATTTTCTTAATAAATTTAAAAATCTTTCTAATAATATTAATAAATATAAATTAACTATAATATTTAATATTTTATTAAGAAATTAATATTTTTTTTTTAAAAGTTATAAGCAAATTTGTCTGCTAAATATTTTAAAATAAATATTATAAATAAGTAAAATTACAGATATAATTTATAAATAATATTATAAAAAAAAAGATTTTTTATTATTAAATTTATTAAATATAATATATATAATTAATTATTTTTTAAATTGTAAATATAAAATTATTTATAAATATTTTAGAAAACTAAAATATTTTGACATCTAATGATTATGAAAAAATGAAATAAAGTAAATAAAGTTTATTATATTTGTCATACTAAAATATATTAAATATATTTAATAATAATATTTTTAAATTTTTAAAATTAATAATTATTAACATATATTAATTTTTAATTTTTAAAAGTAATATATTATGTAATAATTATTTAAAAATAAAATTCATTTTATTGGATTTATCTTATTAAGACCTATTAAATAATAGTATTTTTATATTTTAAGATTAATAAATAATAAGGTATGAGAATTTAAAATTTTAATTTTTTAATAATAATTATTTATTTATTTTCTTTAAAAAATTACTAGTTAATTTACTTAGAAAATATAATAAATTTTATTATAAAAGTATTAATTTTTTAATAGCATATTTTAAAATATTTTAAAATAATTAATTTATAAATAAAATTGCTTACAAATTTGTAGGCAAAACAATTAAAGAGATAGTACTATATTATATAATTTTTAAATAATATATATATATTTTCAACTAATAATTCTAAATATTTTAAACAATAAAAAAAAGTATATACAATTAAAAGTATATATAAAAAAACTATTATACAAAGATAAAATTGTGATTGATAAAAAAGTTGATAAATATACTTACATCAGAAAAAGGACAGTTCTACACAACGACTTTGTCTTACCTCTAATATCTTAACTTTAATCCTCTGTTTATCCAATTATTATGTTATAATGAAGAATTAAATAATAAATGAATTATTACTAAATTTCAAATGTTTTTATTTTATTTTATTTTTTTTTATTTGCCTTCGAAATTAATTTTTTATATAAAAAGAAAATAAAAAGTAAACGGAAGAGTAAGAAGAAAAAAAAGGAATATATATAAGGGGAAAATAATAAAGGGGAATTTATATCTAATCACAGAAAAAAATATAATGCGTAATATTTTATCTTTTTTTTTTTTGTAAGAAAAAACTATATATAAAAGAAATTAACACAAGTACATGTATATTTATATGATTTGATTCATCACATCTCACTTAAGCGAGATTCTCTTTCAATCTGCTACTCTTATCTTATCACCTTATCTTACCTAATTTGAGGTCTTTACTCTTTTTTTCCCTCGAAGGGTATTAGATGATGAAGGTACGGGAGTATCATAAATAGGATTTGCCGGGAGAGGAAAATTATGATTTGAAATGAATTCATATTCCATATTATCAACAAATTTTTTCAATGTGTCAAAGACCTTGTTGTTAAATCTGATATCGTCATGTTTAGCACGAACATGTTTCTTCATGGTTAAAAGACGATTTTGATATTGAAAGATCGGTAACTTTGGATATTTAGCTATCATATAGGTTAAAAAAACAAATTCCACCGGAGCTAATCTATGATCACGATGAAATAATTCAGCATCATCTTCAATCATTTCTTCTATGGTAGTATAAATTTGTTTAGCCAATGCTTTGAGACCTTCAGGGACCTGACGAACTTCCTTCAAATATTTAGTGATAGTAGCGGGAGTAGCATTGAATTTCTCTGGTTCTGTCTCAATCATGTGCAAAGATTGAGTGATGAGTTGGAAAGGACGAGCGCGTTTATTATCCATAATAGAAGAAAGGGTAGAATGTTGACTATAGATTGTGTGAGCGAAATCAGCCATTGGACTGCTAATCGCCTGAAGTTTCTCAGCGGGTGTCAAGGCAACACCAAGTTGTACGCGACTGAATATTTCTTGTTCTTGGTGCAAGGTAAGATCATAATATTCAACTAAATGATAAGAAAAAATAAGTATATAAATAATAGGTGATAATAAGATATAAGTATTTGTGATTACGATCAACCATAACTTACCACAAAGAAGTTCAGAACAATCAAACATTTCACGTTCTGCTTCTGTCAAAGAACGTCTATTATTAAGATTTCTATAATAACGCTTAGTGATATTACCATCAGAAGGACTAAGATGAGGGATCTCGTTATCCATGAACCTAAATTTAATACAAATTTAGTGGACAATATTGTGTAACGAACAAATCACTAATATAAAAAAAGGTTTTATTACTTTCTAATAGCAGTGAGACGTTGCTTTCCATCAATGCAAACACGCATCCATCTTTTACTATCCAACTTTTTACAAGAAAAAATTATAGGTGGTACATAAAAATTATTGAGTACAGAATCGACCAAGTGTGACTGCTTGATGCCTGTCCATACTATGTCTATTATTATGGATCAAGCAAACGGAAAAAAGATACAAAAAGGTCTCGGTTAGAATAACGACTGCTGCGCCACATTCTGTTCATTCAAAAGGTGGTGTTATTTTTTTTTGGTAACTCGAACGAAATGGAAGAGTAAACAAAAATATAATAGTTTCATATAAATTTTTAACTTTTTTGTTACTATATACAAACCTCTTTGAAATTCAGGATTCAAGTCAATCATACCCATTTGTAACCAGTTATATAACTTATACATGGTATGAGTTACATTTCTTGGCTTTGTAAGTGCTTCATCCATAGTTTGCTCCAGCTTGGCAAATTTTTTTTTTTTTTTAAAAAAAAAAAAAAAAAAAAAGTTTTTTTTTTTTTTTCTTTTTTACTAATTTTTTATAAAAAGGAAAAAAACCTCTTATAAACTATAAGAAAATTTGGGGGGGGGGGGATTTAAACAATTGGGGATTTCTTTTCTGAAGGACTTGGATTGTTTATTTATTTATACAAAAACTAATTATTTGATAAAAAAGTTGGTAGAAATTAATCACACAGCTATATCACATCATTATAAATTCTCATAATAAAAAAACTGTTCAAAGGAGGAGATAGTTAATAACATTATTTATATTTATTTAATTTAATAATAATATATTAGTCAAGTCATGTGAGCATGATATATATAATTCGGGCAAGCATTAATTACAACCATAGATCGAGGGATAATGTGATAATTTGAGGAAAAAAAAACCTTATAAATAAATCATTATAATAATAATAATTCACCATAATTTAAGGTAATTAAAGACAAGTTTTAATGAAAGGGAGGCTTCATATTTAGGGCTGTGTTAAAATATAACGAGGTTTTAATAAACAATGATAATTCTAGTAGATTAAAGTCTAATTATAGGATAATTATAGGATAATATTAAAGAACTTGGAAATGTAAAAAAAAAATTATTTTTAATATTTTTAATATTAATATTGTTCTAAATATCATCAACGTATTGTGTGAATATGCGTCAAAATTATATTTATATAAAGCATAAATTCTTGATAATTTTCATTCCAATATTTTATAGTCCGCGTAAAATAAAAATTACTAATAAAGTTCACCCTACAAATAAATTCAATATTTATAATGGAGAGCAATGCTCAACAAAAAGGCTTAATATTGGATGGAAGACATACACCACAGAATATTTCCTTGTATAGTTTTTGTTTTGGAATAGCTTTTGGAGGATGTTTGACAATAGGTTACTTCTCAGACACAATTCCACAATTAGGAATATTTCTTGCCGCGTTGGCTTTATTCCATGAATTAGAATACATGATGACTGCTCTATTCAAACCTGATTTAATAAGTTTAGATAGTCGGTATTTATTCGCTATTTGTATTTCGGTGCTTCTTAAAGGTAACTAACTTACTAATCACTTTTTATTTCAAAAAGGTTTCCTGTTAAATAATGGAAATTTATATCATATCGCACATGCATCAGGCATAACCGAATTCTTGATAGAATTATATTTATTTCCATCCATCAAAAGCTTTCGATTTTTAAAATATATAGGTAAGTTACTACTAATATTATTACACCGATTTACAATTAATAATCTGAATCTCTCCTCCTCCTTTTTAAAGGATTTGCTGTAATGGTAATAGGACAATTGGTGAGAAGTCTTGCCATGTGGCATGCTAAATCAAATTTTTCTCATACAATAGTATATCAAAAGGAAAAAGATCATAACTTGGTCACAAATGGAATATACGCGTATCTGAGACATCCTTCATATTTTGGTTTTTATTGGTGGGCAGTAGGAACGCAAATATTACTTTGCAATCCTATTTGTATGTTTGGTTTTCTTTATGCATTACATCGATTCTTCAAGGCTAGAATTAATGAGGAAGAACCTTTGTTAATTAGATTCTTCGGTAAGGAATATGTCGAATACAAAAAGAAAACTCCAACTTATATTCCCTTAATCGATTAAATCTATCGCTTAACTCGGTAATAATATATTTATATTTGTTTAAGTTTAATATACACAAAAGTAAAAAAAAAAAAAAAGGATGAATGATTGAAAAAAAAAAAAAAAGATGTTTTAAACATATTATTAATACTTATTAATACTATCATCTAATTAAATACTACAATAAATAAGTTTTAATACCACCATAATCGCCAATATAATACCAATAAAATTATAATAAAAATGAATACTAATGGTCCATATTTACGTAAAAGTAATTGTAAATTAAGATCACGTGCAGATTTCTTGTATTTTTGAGATTCATATCGAAGTTGATCTGAAAGCGAGCTCATTTTTTCTAACCCTTCTCCACGCCACAAGACATTCTCCAAATTTTTGGTCATAATATTAGCCACTTCATTCAATTCTGTATTTAATCGATCTAGATTATGTTGTGTTCGTGTGTTCTGATATACTCTCTTAGTCTTTTGCATAAAAGTATCTATAAAAAAAAAAAATCACATAAGGAAGTTATACTTTCGTTTTCATTTTTATTCATATTTTTTTATTTTTATTTTTGTTAAAAAGAACAAAATCTCCATGATAATTACCAAAT